TGTAGCATTTTTTAAAAATCACAGCGCATTACGTTATTGCCTAATGAAGACCCCAAGAGGGAGATGTGGTTTGTCAACCATGAGACTCTTTGTTCATGGGTTTCAGTTTTTAACCAAAGCTCACCCTCTCCTCTGTACCCCTTGTATGTCTCACAGGCACCCAAAACTTACCCTGTCAGAACGGAGCCCTTGAACTTTTGATGTCCTATCTGTCATTACCCAAGCCTGTCCCTTTGTCCAAGCACGTCTCACCTGGCTTTCTGCAGTGGCCTCCTAACTTGCCTCTGCTTTCACACTTACCACACAGCAGCTGGAGTGGTTTTTCAAAAACAGAATTAAGATCATGAGCCTTTCCTGCTTAAAAGGTCTCAGTGGCTTCTTGCTGACTGTACAGACCTTCCGTGATGGGGCTTCTTCCTCTGTGTGGCCGACCTGTCCTTCGTGCCATGTGCCCCAGATCTCTCTGCTGCGATGTGGTGGGGACCTAGAGTGCCAGACTCGGATTGTTCCCTTGGCCTGAAGACTTCAGCCATCTGACCCCAGCTGTAGAGTCCTGAGCAGCCTGTGGACCTAAATATAGTGTTAATACCGGATGCTTCAGAGTGATCTGTCAAAGCAGAGACGATGTGAAAACCTATTGATCGACAGAGGAGTTTTTAAATGCCAGGGATAACTTATAGAAGTTAAAATTCAGATTTTGAGTCTCTTTTCTAACAATATTCAAAACTCTCCTGCTTCTGTTTCTGTTTGTTCACAAGTTGTGGCAGTCACCTGACGGTGCCCTGGGAACCTGAACTCCTCGTCAGGATCGTGCTCTCTTGGCATTGCAGTAAGTAGCTGGAGGACGTGTGCTGACACAGCATCTCCTCGTGGCTACAAGGCAGAGTGCCGTTCTCTGTGCTATTATTATCCCTAGGGGGACAAAAACATAAGAGGAAGGCCTCAGCTCTTGACTTCAGGCTGCTCTGGCTTCTGCCAGCAGGTGCAGTACTTACAGCTGTGGGCAGGTGTCTGGCTGGGGACTTCAGAACTGACCTTTGTACTTTATCACCTACGTGCTGTTTCCATTATATTATGTGCTGTTTGTAGTAGACTATACGATTAAGAGTATGGTAAAGGGTAAAATAGAGAAGAGTGGTAATTTCAATGCAAATTATCATTTTTGTAATAGATATACCAGCATCTATGGAAGGCAGTTGTTCAGACTTTTCAGAAAAGTGAAAATGTGGCCTCACTAGTTAGGAGGCAACAGGAAGGAAAGGTGGCATGGGAGACCACCAGCAAAGGGATAGCTGGAAAGGGGGGAAAGAATCTTCAAAGCCCCTCAGTCATGTTTGGATGGACTATTCCACATGGCGAGAAGATAATCAGGCCAGTTAACAGAGTAGGCTGGGTTCAGTTAAGTTGTGGAACCATCTGGATGCTTCTTTTATCTGGGGACTCAGAGTCTTTGCCGTGGGTCCAGGACACAGAAGGTGACCCAGCAGGTGCTCTGGATGCAAGGAAGCAGCAACAAGGCGGGAAGCTGGTTTTTGTTATAGGGAAATCTAGGTATAGTTTAGTTATTGTTCAATATAGAAAGAAGATAATACTAATCCAATAGGAGCAACACATCTGCTCAGAACGTTTTGACCGTAGGGGGAGATTAATGTTTACTTGGAGGCAGTTACTTTTAGTGACTCATCTAAACCCAGGATACTGTATTAACTGGAGATTGAATACTTTGAGGTTAATATAGTGCTGAGATACTGTATTTTTTTTTAATTTTGTAATCATTACTGTATGTTTTCTGTTTCATCATAGAGTAACATATTGTTCCATATTGGTGTTAGAAGTAATTTCTTTTTGGTGTGAGGTGCTTCCATTGGATGCTGTACCTCAGTTATGCCTGTCTCATGTTTTGATTTGTGACATACGAATTACTGAAGCTCTGCTGACTTCCTGAGGAAGATTATCAGAATCTAGTGAGGAACCAAGCACTCCCTAGGCAATGTGAATTATAAACTTAACCCTATCATAGTGAAGGTGAACTCAGTATCCACACTCTTTTGAAATTGTGATTGCATTGATAAGTTTTAGCCCTCTGTCTTGGATGGTTGGATGGGCAGAGATGATCTTTCTTGGATGCTTTAGTTCCAGTGGGTGCCTTTTATCAGCAGCAAATCTCACAAAAATCTTGTACAAATGTCTATCTTGAGCTAATGACCTATGTAAATTCAAGTGGTATGTTATTTGATTCTCTTAATGAGTCTTGGGAGAGGGTTAGAAAGTGTCCTGAGTGCCTGAACGTCAAATGGTGATGGTGGCAGAAGTGGTCGCTGGTGTCAGAACTGGCATAGTTCGGCTTTTGAAGACATGGAGATGGTTTAAGATGTTTATGAAGTCAAGATGTAAGGTTATAGATTACTCGTTCCTTGAGCCTTCTCTTTCACTGCTGTAAGAGAGTAGAATTTTAGCTAATTGTTACTGTTCATTGTGCTCACAGATTAAAACCAAGCTACTTACTTTTAATTTCTTGGGTGCCAGTCCTAAGTGGCTGCCTACTTTTAAGTGGTTTCCTACTTTTGCAGTTTTCCAGAATTGAATAGTGTTGTAAGTGTGATAATAGTAGAGCCGTTTGGGGGAATAGAAACACTTACTCACAGATTATTTTGGTTTCTGGCGGTTCTACTATGATACGCTCAGGTGTGGTTTTCTTGCGTGTATCCTGTCCTGCTTTGGTATACTTAGGGCTTCTTCAATCTGTGTTTGTCAGTTTTGGAAAATGCTCAGCCAGTATTTCTTCAGATACTGATTCTGCTCCATTTTTTCCTCTCTCCCAGATCTCCAGTTCCATGTATGCTAGACCTTTTTCATCACATCTTATTTGTTTCTTAAGTCTTTTATGTAGTAGAAAAGCCTACTTTTTCATTTTTTCAGTCTGGAGTTGTTTTCTTTTTGTGTCTTTTCCATGTGATTATTTTCATACCCTTTTCAATCTGGATGCTTTTTACATACAGTCTGCCAGTTCACTCATTCTCTTACCTAATCTGTATCTGAACTGCTGTTAAACCCATCTGTTAATTAAAAAAAATACATAGATTCTGGTTCTTTGGTGATAGTCTGTATTTTCATTTACTTTTTAAGACATATTACTCAGTTAATTTTAAAGTCAGTATCTGATGACTCTAGTCTGCATTATCTAAGGGTCTATTTCTGTTTTCTTGTTTTGGAACATTAGGTCTTGTTTTCTGGCACGCTTAGTAATTTTTTATTGAAAATTTGCATGATGATAACTTTCAGAGTGGATTTAAGTTTCTTCTAGCAAAGTATGAGTGGATCACTTTGGAGTAGAGCCTAGTCTGTTTCTGGTTTGCCCATATTCCCGGGGCAGAGTCCTTCTGGGATCTCAAAAGCTTGAGGTTTCCAACTGGGCTCGCAGCTCCAAATTTTGTCTCCCTGGTCGTGGTCAGCTGATTAGATATTTGCTCTGTTTTTTAGCCTCTAGCAGTTTCTTTCTGCCTGGTTTTTCTGCATTTTGCCCCATTTGTGCAATTTGCCTTGAGAAGAAAGGGCACAAATGCTGGGTTTACCTACATCTTCCCTCTTTTCCAGGATTTTGGCTGCTCAAGTCCTGGCTGCTTTGGTTGCTTTCATCAGCGAGCACTCTTCAAAGAGTTGCATCTTATATTTTATCTTCTTCTAGAGTTAATTGTTCTTAGGAGGATGATTGTTTTGGACCATAGCCAGAGAAAAGGTTCTTCAGGGATTACTTTGATTTTCAAAAAACTAAAACTAGGTTCATGGAAGGTTCATGTTTCAAACCTATTTCACAAGCTGTTAAGTTCACCTTAAAGTCTTACTCTAAATCCTTTAAAGGAAACTTTTGTAACTTGTTTAATGAAATAGTTTAAACTTTCTTTACGAATTAATACTCACCTTTTGTTTTTAAATTCTTTAACTGCTTAACCACTGGTTTGATTTTCTTAATCATTTTAATACATAATTCTAAACCTTCCTAGAACTTAAATACGTTTGCCCACTAAGGAAATGATTTTTGTCATTCCGAACAGTTTTGGAGTTTAACTTCCTAGCTGCTTGAAGGAGCATAACAACCAGGGATGTAAAGTCTGGAGCTTTAAATTCAAAGAAATTTCTCTTGTCCGTGACCGACCACCTGCCCAACTCCCTTTTTGTAATAACTGTCATAGACTCAAACAAAAACGGGGTAATGATGATCATGCAGTCTTTCCCCGATCTTGAGTCGTATCGTGATAAACTTTTCAAGTCAGGCAGATCTAACACCTACTTGTCTTTTTGCTGCTTCACGAGTTTTGAGTAATTTTCATACTCTATTTACTTATTATATGTTTAATTGACATCTAATTGGCGTTTATGTATTCCGAGTTGTGTCTGTCTCCCTTACGTAGGTTCCAAGGTTGTTCTTATTGTCGTGAAGTGGCCTGTTCATTGAAAATGGAGCTGTTTTATTTATTGCACTGCAGTTTAAAATAGACTTGCTTTTAAGTTTTTAATATATTTTATTGAATCCATTTGTATCTAAAATATTTTTGCTTAAACATGTAATCAATATGAAAATAACTAATGAGGGATTTTACATTAAAGTTTTTGATGTCTATTTAAAATTTTTTAAAAACTGAAATATAATTGACATGTTAAAACTATGTTAGTTCCAAGTGTACAACATAATGATTTAGTATTTGTATATATTGTGAAATGATCACCACAGTGAGTCTAGTTAACTTCATAACTCACATCATACACAGAAGTCACAAGTTTTTTCTTCTTATGGTGAGGACTTTTAAGATCTGTTAGCAAATTTCAGATACACAATGCAATATTATTAGCTGTAGTCGCCATGTGTACATTGAATCCCCAGGACTTATTTATTTTACAACGGGAAGTTTGTTCCAGAACAGACTTGTTTTACGTGCCATTAACTACTATTTACAATCTCATTTACCTGGACTGTCAACTTACTGTTGCTTTTCCCTCTACAGAAAGGCAGAAACGCTCCAGATGTCTTCCGGTAGATACCAAGTTTCTATCCCAATGTCAAAAATAAACACCAATGGCCTCCCGGGGACCACCTCCAATGACCTGAAGACGTTTACTGGAGGAGCTGTGTTAAGTTTTCATAACATCTGCTATCGCGTAAAAGTGAAGAGTGGCTTTCTATGTTGTCGGAAAACTGTTGAGAAAGAAATACTAACGAATATCAAGTACGTGCATGAACTTTTATTTAAATAGATTTATTGACATGCAGTGAACTTTGCAGGTTTTACTTATTGGAAATAAAAGTGTGCAAGTCTGTTCAGATGTACAGATACATGCTTTCATTTCTTTGGCTAAGCTAGCAGTGAGGTGGTTGGATCACATGTTAGATACATGTAAATATAAGATGGCTATAGCTTAGCATAAGTTTTGCAGTTGGAGTCCAAAGTGATAAGAGAATTTAGGCTGCAAATTAGTACATTTAATTATATTTTAGAACCTGAGTTGATGCAAAACTCTAATTTCTACTCTGAATTCTCTATATTGAGCAATGAGTTCATCACATGGTGGTAGAGTGGGCAGTAGAGTGGGGGGAGAAATGAACAGTCATATTGGATTTACTCGGTCCTAGGTATCTGTGTTTCACATATTATACAACCTTTAGGGTTTTAATGTTTTTCTGATTTCTAGAGAATTGAGCTTTATTCTTTCTGTCTGTGGAGTGGTGAGTGAATCTAGGTTTGCTTAGACAGCATAGGCCTATGTGTTTTGTTAATTTTGTGTGTGTGTGATAGGGGAAGTAATTATCCCTAGACAAAAGCAGGCAACTTTTCTGGCTTTCCAGGACCGGAAGAGTGAGGTTTTATAAGAGCCCTCTGGCCAGATATACCCACAAACCTATATGGAATCGGATGTTTCTTGTGTTTTCTAGGTGGGTTATATGGGACTGTGGTCTTTTCTGTTACTAACAGCCAAGTGCTTCCAGAGGGCTGGGAAATGACAAATGGAGAAAGTTTTTGGAGGTGGGTGGGGAAGAAAGGATGGGGATCCGAGACTGATTGGGATGCCATGAGGCCAGGTACTATGTCGGATTAGCTAGAACTCTTTCCACACAGTAGTGCAGACTGTCATGCCTACTTCCCTGAAGCTTTCTCATGGTAGTTAAGAAATCCTGAATATGAGGATAAGGAGAGGTATGGTAGATTAAAAGCTTTCATCTTTTGCTACGTGCCTAAACTAGAATCAACTGATCTTTCTGAAAAGCTGATGAGTTTTTTCTGAAGCATAATAATCAAGAAAAATGCAGATCACTTCAGATTTTGTGCTGATAAAAAATGGTTTGAATATGTGCAGACTGAATAAATGTAAAATATATACTGCTTGAGGGTACATTTATCTTACTTATGTTTTAAAGCTAGTAGATCAGTAACTTGATACACTAAAAATGTCATCTGCTCAAGGCTTCATCATATTTTTATTGTTCAGTGGTATGCATTTCAGCAACAAATGGGTTCATGCTTACATGCATTCCTAGGTTCATAAAAACTCAGTCAGATCTTGCAATCCTTTTCAAATTTTATAATTGAAAGGATACCAGGGGTTGTTTTCTTGCTCACTCACATTTCTGGTTTAGGCAGTAATGTTTCCTATCTCTCTCCTATCTGCTGGCTTCAACTAAGTAGAGTTTCTGGGATGGGGGAAAGGGTGCTCTAATTTATCTTATTATTTTTTTTCATTTATTTTATTTTCGATTCATGTTTGATAGCACCATCACCATTCAAAATTGTACCTCTATTCCAAGAAAGCTGATGAGTACCTTGATGTTTTTGTCTTTCCTTTGGGCATTTTGTAATGTCATTTGTAGAATGAATGTAGAATCTCATTTTCGTCTGTGAGGGAGGAAGTGAAAACAAATCTGGCTATGAGAAGTCAAAAAGGTGAGATTCTGCTCCCTTATAAAAAAATACTTCCTGTTAGTACCTCAGTTTGTCTCCAGACCCAACATTTGAGCTTTTTCTCACCAAAGCTGAAGATTTATAGAAAGAATGATCCATTCTAGTAGATGTGTGAGTGCCTTATAATCGTCAGAGAAATGCATTATACTGTTTGGGGATTTTTTTTAATTAATGATTTATTTTGAGATCATTTCAAAGGTAAACCTTGCGGGAACACAACCCTTTCACTCAGATTCCCTGCCTGTCAGCATTTCAATGCATTTGCTTGTCACTTTGCGTTCTTTATGTACCCATTGTCATTAATATTTTTCTGAACCATTTGAGAACAAGCTGTCCCTTTGATGCTCTGTTATCACTAACTCCTCCAGTGTATATTTTCAAGATATAGGGGTCGTTTCTTATATAAGCACTCAGTTACTGTCTGGGAGCAGCCCAGGGGAAGTGTAGCTGCATAAAGAATGCAGTGGTGGGTCCTACAGGGCTGTTCTCAGTCATTCTCTTCCTATGGTTGACTGACCACCACATCATCAGTCTCATCCAAGCTGGTATTTTTCTGTCCCACCCCTTAATCTTGATCACCTGGTCATGTTGGTGTCTCCCAGGCTTCTTTACCATGTCAGCATTTTCCCCTTTGTAACTGTTAAATTTTGTGAGGAGTGATACGTTGACATTATTCCAAAATCCTATTTCTCATTAAACTTTTAACCCACCAGCTCTAGCTCCCATTGATGACTCCCACCTGGATCAGCAGTAACACTCTGATCTGATAGTCAGTTATTTGATATTTACCAAAAGGTGATTTTCTTTTTTTATCCATCTCTTCTATATTATTAGTTTGCATTCTAATAAAAGGAAAAAGCTTCATCATGTCTTCATTCCTTTATTTATGTCAGTATTTATGGGTTTGTGTTTTATTCAGCCGTGTTCAATAGTTGTGCATTATGGTCATTGTTCATTGTGATACTCCTAATTGTTCCTGGTGGGGTCAGCGTGAGGCTTTCAAGGTAGATTCTGTGTTTTGTTTTGTTCTTTGACTTGTTCTTTTGGCATATTCTCTCGTTATTTTCCTGTAAGTAACTGTCCTTTATAGAAATGTTGAGACGCATTTATTCAACAAATTTTGAATGTCTACTAGGTTGTTTGACATTGTGTGAGGTGCTAGTGACAAGGAAATGTCCTCTGCCCTCAGACACTTTCTATTTTAATGGAGGAGTCAGGCGGCTAGAACACCTCACTGTGTCATTCTACACGTAGAGGGATTAGGAGACATTATGGACATTCCTAACCCTAAACCAGAGGTTCAGGAGTGTGCAGAGAAAGTGAAGATTGTGTGTGTGCGTACACATGTGCGTGTGTGCATGTGTGTGTGTAGGGCAAGGTAGGGTATGGTTGGGGGAGCCACACTCCAAGCAGGGGTAATGGCATTGACTACTCTTTCATCAACTGAGACCGAAGGATTAGCCACTAAAGTGTAATGCATGTGGTGTGAATCCTTTACCTAGGTTTCATTTCATGTATTTCGTACCCATTGTAGACCACTGTGCTCCATGCTGTTGGGGTTGGGGGGGAAGACACGATGACATAATTCTTGTTGGCAAGGTTTTACAGTATAGTGGGGGAGATGTTCCTGCGTGTACATGCTGTAAAGCAGTAAATAAGGGTGGGGAAGTGGTTTTGAGGGGTGCTAGGAGGGCAGAGGGTAGGATGGGGAAGCGAGAGAATTGTAGACCATGGACTAGAACAGGAGTCAGCCGTCTTTTTCTGTAAAGGGCCTGATAGCAAATATCTTCAGCTTCATGGGTCTTCCATCTGTACTGCAGCTGCTCATCTCTGTCATTGTTGCACGAAGCAGCCATAGACAACATGTACACGAATGAGTATAGCTCTGTTCCAGTAGCACTCCGTTTATCAAAACAGAAAACAGGTGAGCAGCTGTAGTTTGCTGATCCCTGGACTAGAATGTCAGTTCCAGGAGGGCTAGGACTTTGTTTTAGTCTCAGTTCTGTCCCATGTCTTAGAAGGGTGTCTTCTTATACATAATAGACACTGGATAACTGTGTTGAATGAACGGAGGGAGGATCAGCCACTGCTCCAGACTGGAGCTGTGATTGCACCTTATTGCTGCTTTCTGGAATGCGAGGGCTCAGTGCCAAGGGAAGCCCATCTCAGCGACCTGTAAAATTCTTTGACTTAGAACATTTACGTTCCGTTTTGGATTAAGCATTTTGGATTGCTTGGTCTTGATCTGAGGAGACGTTTTTAAAACCTGGAAAGGGTTTCTGACAACAAAGTCTGAGTGAATAACAAGCTTATTTCTCGTTATCTTAGAAGCTGTTACTAGGTGGCTATTAATAAAGAAGGTACATCACGAGCTATTGATGACACGACATTGTAAACTGACTGTACTTCAGTAAAAAAGAAAAAAAAGAGCTATCGGTAAATGCGTATTGAAAGTGCACCCAATTATTAGCATGTCTTTTTTACAACCATGGGGAAAGATCACCGAAAAGAATAAGAGATTATTGTGTTTTACAGCTTGCTGCTGGTGTACCTAACTCACTTATCTGTCTGGTGTTTCAGTGAGAGGCACCTCAGCTCACGAGCAGAGTGAAAGGTACATTTCACCCTAGCACCAGCCGCTTCACAGTTGGGACGGTGGGTGCAGGCACAGTGGTCAGTTGATGCTGAGGTCCTCCTGGGTGGAGGCGCTGGAGTCCATTTTAGTTTGTCACTCACGACAGTTGCGTTATCATAGAATTGGCTTTTGTGAAAAACAACATTTGGGAATGAAATAGCCTTTGGCTTTGGACTTACTATGTCTGGATTAGATACTGTTTTGTCTGTGGAATAAATTTTATCTTACCCACAAGTTACAAAGAAAGATTGGACTTAGTCCCCAGGGTTCTGAAATGGCTTCGCAGGCCTCCATTGAATCATGCCTGGATAATGCAGAGGCCCTGCCCTTAATCCTCCTTTCTCCATTCCATCCTCCTTCACCCTTCTGCTGGCAACCTACAGGATACAATCCAAAATATTTGCCTTCTTCTTGAGTCTCAGCACAGTCAACACTGCCTTAATTTTTTTCCGCCTTCCCGCTCTCTGTCTGAATAGTCACTGCCCTCAAACATCTGTTTAGTCTGTTTGGAATGTGCTGCGTGTACACCAATGTCAATGTATCTTTAAAATTGTCCCTTGTAGAAAGTGACACCCGCCGCTTCTGAACTGAGAATTTTCTAGTCCACTTCTCTCATAATTTACAAGGAAGAAAATGATATGTCTTGATGGTGTTAGGTTTTACTTTTCTAATTTGATTAAGAATTTTGTGAGGGTTAAGAATTGGGGATGTTTGCTTTTGAACCCCTGAGGTGCTTTTATTCCAGCCATTGAATTTCTGTTTCAGATGTATTGTTTCTTGGTCTGAACTAGATTTGAACAGTGAGGACACTACTACTGGTGATTCTAAAAGTCCACTGACTCACTGATTGTGTAGAACTTGACTAGGCAGCAGATGAGGTGACATGAGGATAAGTGTTATCACTCATTACTCAAGACCTGTTCCGTACCTTACCCCGTGAAAGAGGAGTGCGTGGAGCAGAGATGCTTTGCCAGAGCATGTTACATCAAGGAACCTTGAGAGCTCTTGTGTCCTGTTCCAAAAAATTTAAATGGTTTAGAGAATAAGTGGAAGGAATTGAGAGGGACCCGAGTTGTTCTTCTTGTAAGTCCTGACATTTTTTTGTATGCTCGATTTCTGTTAATTGACGATTCGGTTTCTTTTTCCTTTAAGAGTTGATTTGTACTTTTTTCCCCCCACTCTCACTGTAAGTTCATCAACCTTCATTGAGGGTATTAAATGCAAATCCTAAATTAAGAGAACTGGTTTTATATTGGGCCAATAACTCGGTATATTTCTGCATTTACAGTGGGATCATGAAACCTGGCCTCAACGCCATTCTGGGACCCACAGGGGGAGGCAAATCTTCGTGAGTATAACAGTATAAGCAAACTTTTTCTTTACAGTTTTAATGTGTGGTCTTTTAAAATTGAGTTATAGTTGACATACAATATTATGTTAGTTTCAAGTGTGCTACATAATGATTTGATACTTACATTCACTATGAAATGATCGCCATGATAAGTCTAGTAACCATCTGTCCCCATACCAAGTTAATTACAATAGGATTGACCATATTCCTCCTGCTGTACGTTACATCCCCGTGACTTATTTATTTTATACCTGGAGGTTTTTACCTCTTAATCTCCTTTGCCTATTCACCACCCTCAGTTTTAATGTGCTTTTAAAGATTACTTTTATGTGAGTGGGTATTTGTTGAATATTTTCTGCATATCTAGTCTGGTTCTAGGTGCTGTGGATAATGTGCAGTTGTGCTAGCTTGTGGTTCTGTCCTGAGGACAAGGAAATCTTACTAGGTCAGCTTTACTAATAGAATGTGGTAAGGTGACTGGCACACAGCTGTCAGCTATGATTTGAGCTATGGAGAGGAAAAGGAGGGGGATAAAATTGAAAGTGGGGAGTTGGAGCCAAAGGCATAAATAAAAGCTATGTCTTAGACGAAAGAGCACACTGCCTGCCTTGGGACCCCCCAAGGTCAGAGAGCCTGGAGGGCAGTTTGGGTGGTCTGTGCTGGATCAGCCAACAGTGCTTTTCTTTCGTGTTTTTGGGCTTTACTGTAGCATATAGTAAAAAGAAAAGGAAAGTGACATTTAAAATATATACATAATTTTAGTTAAACTATGTAATTTCTCAGTAAGTTAGTTTGCTAACTTGAGCAGGATTTGGATTCAAATTAATCAAAAGATAAAGCCTAATTTGGAAGAATTAAAAACAACAACATATGTCTTTTCATAGGTTGTTAGATGTCTTAGCTGCAAGGAAAGATCCACATGGTTTATCTGGAGATGTTTTAATCAACGGAGCACCTCGACCTGCCAATTTTAAATGTAACTCAGGTTATGTGGTACAAGTAAGTATTTGTGGATTTGCATGTTAGATTTCTTCTGTTTCTTTGTGGGCAAGTGCCTTGGCTGATAGTTGAGTGTGCTTCCAACTGACTACATGATAGACTCATAGAAACAACTTCACTTTACATCAGATTTTCATAATCTCCCATAAGATTCAGAGTAGTATGAAATGAAAAGGCAGGGAGAATCTAGAATAGGACCCTCGGAAGGGCAGTGATATCAATTCTTGTTATCATATTGTTTCTAAAAGACACTACTATTGCACTTGTTTGCCTTACCTCCACCTCTCTCCTTCCCCTAGCTTAGAACCATGTTTTGGCAACTCCTTGTGTAAAGCAGTCTGTGTTCTCTTTGGGTGTACAGATAGGCAATGGAACATTCCATCTGGGTTTGCAGCTGTCTACATATGGAGTTATTGTAACTTGTATAATTACAAGTTCATTATTGGCTAGAACTTTACTTGGGTGTGTTATTTTTGTGGATAAGTTATATACACTAAGAGTGATGGTATTGGAGAAGACCTGATACGTCTTGTTAAAATGCCCTTTTGCTTTAAGGATGATGTCGTGATGGGAACTCTGACAGTGAGAGAAAACTTACAGTTCTCAGCAGCTCTTCGGCTTCCAACAACTATGACAAACCGGGAAAAAAATGCACGAATTAACATGGTCATTCAAGAGTTAGGTCTGGATAAAGTGGCAGATTCTAAGGTAATGTGGAAAAAACTGATAGTATCATTGCCAGCAAATAGGACCTCACCTGTGTGGGTAGTATCACTTACAGTTATGTAACATCTAACTATAATTATATAACTATATAAATTATATGGTGATAATAACTTAACAGTTATTAGCTTTCTGTCATGTGTATGGTCAAGAGTGGCTGCTTTCTGTAACTATGAGGAAAGTGACTAGTTACCTAATATGAAGATGGTAATTAATCAGGTGGGAAAAAAAAACCCTAGAATGATTGAATCTTGGAAATGAATGTGGCAATGTGGTCTAGTAAGTGAAAGTGTCTTGCAGAGAACCAGTGACCCTTGCCACGAGATTACATCTCTTGATCCTCTCCCACCCCGATTGTGTGTCACGTCTCAATTCAGTGTCTTCACACTAACTTTGCTTCTTCCTGTTTTCTTCTTCCTGTTTAGCTGTTCTTCTCTTCCTCCAGGAGACTTTGTTCCGTTGCTTTTCAGAGGTATATTTCTGGAATTCATACACGTTGAAAATCCAAGGGCTCTTGCTCTGTATGTTTCACTTTGCTGTAATTTGGCTTCCAAAATTATATTCAGTCAAATTAGGGTTTATATCTAATTTGTGTAGCATCCAAGTTGTTTTTCCAGAGCCTTTCTTTTGGTACTTTTGGCTCCCAACCTCCCCTCTCCTCCCCACTTCTTCTCCCCTTTTTCTCTTGCCAGTGTTTATTTACAGACTGTTTGTTGTGTACTGGGCTCTTTTCACTTTTAGAGATAACGGTTGTGGGCAGGAGAGGGAAAAGTAACTCCTTTTGTGGGTTATACAGGATCAGAAAGAAGAAATGAGATGAATGAGTGAACTTTACAGTTGATGACCAGGTATGAACAATTTGCTGGGAAGACATCTGAAGCTTTGGGTGAAGATGAGCTTTTTAGACTGTGATGGCTATGGTTTAACCCCCCTGTGATATCCTTTACTGTGAATCTCCTTTATCCATTCTTTGTAACCTTTGTTAGAGGGGATATTCTGCTGACTGCCACTTCATATGATACTTTCTGACATTCTTTAATGTAAAGTGTATTTTGTTTGGAAAAATAACTCTGAGATGGCAGCATTTCCCACTAAATTCATTTTATGAGTGATTGAGTTTCCTTTGCATTGGCTCTGTTTATTTGATTTTTATCTTTCCAATAAGGTATTTACCATTCTTTACCTTTAGGTGAAGGCCCTCTACCAGTAGGCAGTCATTGCCCTACTTGCATGCATTTCTAGGGAAAATAAGTTGAATGAAGTTGTTGACTTAGCATTTATCTAATTAATTGAAATAATACATTTAAATTTTTTTACTTTTTATGGAATTTTAAGCATAACAGAAATGTAGAGAGAATAGTCTGATTACTTATTTGTTACCAAGTCCAAGTTTGTACAGCTAGTAAATCAAGACACGAGTTGTTGGGGCGAAGAATAATGACTTTATTGGGAAAGCCAGCAGACAGAGAAGGTGATGGATTAGTGTCCCAAAGAAACAATATCCCCAAGTAAGAATTTAGGCTTCTTTCATACTAAAAGGGGTGGAGGTGTGATTGGTTATTACAAGCTTCTTGGTGCCAGAATCCTGTGTTCTTGCAGCTGTCCAGGTGGATCTGGTCACAATGTTCCTATAAACCTCCAACGAGACAAATGTTATTCTCTGTTCTGCAACTTTTTATCTCTATATGAATGGAAAAGTGTTATACCCTTAAAGGTCAGAGACTGAGAATGGGCTATCCTGTGTATTTCAGGCAGTAGACAACATTCTTTCCAAAAAGTGCAGAGCCAGTATGACTAAGCACAGGCAACAGAGCACAAAGGTTAGAACTGAAGTAGATTCAGTATGGCGTCAGGCCTGTTCTTCTCTGTTACATAGTGATGATATGATTGTACTATCATTAATGTAATGGTATGATTACTAATAACACTTACCTTAGTTTCCCATAACTGCTTCAACTTTTTTTTGAAGTATTTTAAAGGAAGTTACAAATATCATGATAGTTCACTCCTGAATACTGATTATGCATCTTAAAAATAGATATTTGCCTACATTACCACAATGCCATTTGCAACTAATAAAATTGTGTCTTAATATCAGCCATGTTGCCCATATTCATTCACATTTCCCCAGTTATCTCCAAAGTATCCGTTACAGCTCAGTTGTTACAGGATTCAGTCAAGGGCATGAGCAGCACTTGCGTATTATCTCTTTGAAGACTCTTTACATAAAAACTGTTTCCTGCCTACTGCCTCCCTCAAAACCTTCCTGCTCCCGCCCTGCACAGTGACACTGACTAGTTGAAAAGACTCAACCAGTTGCCTTGTAGAATAGTCGACCTTCTGAATTTGTCTGAAAGAAGGAGTCAGAAATTCTGTGGTAAGTTAAGGTATAGGAGGGGTCAATTTGGGAAGCCTTATGGTGATTTAAGAGGTGCTAATGTGGTGCGGTAGAAAGTGAATTTTTCTGGGTGCCAAGCCACAGTGAGGACTTTTTTGGGGATGGGGGAATGGGGATTAGGAGGGTGTAAGAAGACTAATAAATTGTAGATGCTTTCAGCTTTTCCTCTCCCATCTTCATCTCCCTTTTTGGTCTGTGCTTTCACTATGTCAGAGCCATATCTTTTAGTGTTCTAGCTTAACTGTCTTAAGACTAAATATTTGACTTGATAAGAAATATATAGACCTGTTAATGGGTTTCATATCAGGCTTAGCCACTTACCAGCTCTGACCTGAGCCTCAGTTTATTCTTTGAGTTAAAGAGAAACCTACCTCTTCTCCTGCGTAGTCATTCATTTGCTCGTTCACGGTAAATGAGGATAAAGAGACCAAGTGCCCCTTGTAAGGTTGGCACATGTTAGGAGCTCAACAAATGGTAGCGGCTGTGGTTGTGATTGGTAATTACGATACTATTTGTGTTTTAGGTTGGAACTCAGTTTATCCGTGGTGTGTCTGGAGGAGAAAGAAAAAGGACTAGTATTGCCATGGAGCTTATTACTGATCCAGCCATCTTGTTCCTGGATGAGCCCACAACTGGCTTAGACTCAAGCACAGCAAATGCGGTCCTTTTGCTCCTGAAGAGGTAAACGCTATGGGAACGTTATTCGTTCATTCATCCAATATCTGAACACCTGCTATATACCAGGTATTATTCTTGGTGCAGGGGATTCAGGAGTAAGCACACGGATAACAGTTTCTCCCTTCTTTGCTGGAGGGCAACAGTCAATTAGCAAATTATAAGTGTTTCACGAAAAATGAGGCAGGCTAAGAGAGTAGCAAAAGATGGCTCTGGTGGGTGGAGGTGCTGTGTTATGTACAGGATGGTCAGGGAAGACTTCAGTGAGGTGACGTTTGAGCTGGGAGCAAGTGAGCAAGACCTGGATGTGTGGGAGAAGAGACTTCTAGTTGGAGGGAACAGCCAGGTACCCTAAGGCAGAGTGAGCCCGATGTGTTTGGAACACGAAAGAGGACCTGGACCCTGGTGCCCTAAATCAGGGATGGGGGCTGCTTATTGATTACTTTGCTCGGGCTGCCATGACATAGTGCCACAGACTGGGTGGCTTAAACAGCAGAAATTTAGTTTTTCACATTCTTGGAGGCTTGAAGTTTGAGA